ACTAAAATGTTATGATTTTAGAAATTTCTGTTGTTCAGCTCTGAAATTATACTAAAACAATTATTTGCCTCAGGTTTGGGGAATATTGTCAAACAATCCCCTCAACTTTGTCTCGGGGATTATTTGACGGTATTCACCTCGCCTTCAGTGAATAATTTTTAAATATATAGACATAGAGGCTGAGCTAAGTAACGTCAAAGGTATGCGGTGAACAACGCGGGCTCAAGCGAGCGGGGTTTAAAATTTAGAGAAATTTGCGAAAATACTAAGGATCTGGCTTTTAAATCCTTGGCGTTTGGTTGTCGTCGACGGCATTTTCCCTATTTCCAAAGTTTTTAATGTGGAAATTAATTTTAAAAAATATTTAGGGGGTGTACAAAGTTTTGGAGGTTGTTCTGTAAAAGAAAAGCTGCAAGGAAAACAACGACTCGAAGCAACAGAATAGGAAATCAACCAACGACTCAAAGTCCGTTTCCACGCCAAAAAAGTAGCGCATGCGTGTACTTTATTTGGCTTTGTCAGCTGATCAGACATTCTTCGGAGTATAGAAAGAAGGATTAACCAAAGGTGAAGTTGTAGAAGGTTATGAGGACTTCTGTGAAAACTCCAAAAAAGGTGAAGTTGTAAAAGAATATGAGGACTTCTGTGAAGCCATCATTGATTCTTTGCAGTGCCATCGCAGGCTCTGTGCACTCCGGCTTCTGGAAGTTGTTTACTCCACATCTCAGGTGTTTTTCGGCATCTATTAGCACACAACAAAAACACAGACCTCATATAGGTATTGTGGGCAGTGGTCCTGCGGGTTTTTACACAGCGCAGCAAATTTTGAAGGTAGGTATTTGAAATATTCCTTTATCTTGTCCCCTATCAGTGGCTGGTTTCGAAAAAAAGGGCGTGTGGCGGGGGGGTTACGTTCCCCCTGCAGCTGCACCCTTTTCCTCATGGAGTCGGAAACTGACTGGTGCATATTTATTTCTCCAGTCCCATGATGATGCTGTGACTGATGTTTATGAACGTCTTCCAGTCCCATTTGGCTTAGCAAGATTTGGAATTGCCCCTGATCATCCTGAAACGAAGGCAAGGCTATCTTAATATTTGGACACATAAAGCAACATGGAGTATCACTACTATACTAGCCGGGATGGGATGCCAGTCTACCACAGGTTACCCCTCCCCCCCCTCTCTGGACTTGACTGGTTCTTTTTTTTTTTTACAGTTTGCCAATCTCACACTTATACAATTGCATTTGTGAATGGGCCATTGCAGAAACATAAGAGGACTGGGACGAGTTTCTTATATTGATTACATTGAAAATCTAAACATTTCAACTGAAATGTTACTGAATCAAAAGCTACCCAGCCAAGTTTGAGAGTTTTCAGTGGAAAAGTGTCCAAATTGGAGCCTTGCAAAAGTTGCAAAAATTCCATACAAACACTTAAATTTTTTTGCCCTGTCTACCCAAAGCATACAAACTCTCTATTTTAGGTGATATTTGAAAAGCAGTCATTTTGCCATTTTCCTCCTCTAAATACTTCTATTCTTGCATAAGACTCAAATTTAGTTGATCTTTCATTTAAATATCTTAGTTTTTCAAACAAACGGAAAACAATCACACTCTTTCCCAGTCCTCTCATGTTTCTGCAATGGCCTATACTATGACAGTAGAGTGTCCCAGATCTTGAACCAGGACCTCTCAACCTAGAGTCCAGTGTTGACCCTCAGGCCAACATGTCTACTACTATTTTAAGGGGGGAAACCTGACCTAACCTGCAATGAATAAAGGGGGTGGGTTTGTGACAAAAATGTGGTGGTTAGGAGTAATGCAAGAAAATTTGTATTTATCAATTGATTTGATAATGTAAATTGGCCATCATAAGGAGTTTCTTAGGCTGACTTTCAAGCTTTAGTCCTTCGTCAGAGCAAATGGATTGGCATCTCATCTAAATGATTAGCAGTAGGCCTCACTGTGTCTTAGGAACTGGATACACTCTGTCAGATATGTGAATCAATTGTCTGTATATAGACTTGACTGTTTTCAAATAAACTGAAAATGTTAGTGATGTGATTTAGTGCTCTTGTTATACAGAATTGCATAAACCAGTTCACAACTACAGCCCAGTCTGACAGATGTACTTTTATTGGAAATGTAAATGTTGGAAAAGATGTGAAACTAACTGAGCTACTCCAAGCTTATGATGCTGTTATCTTGGTAAGATAGAAAAGTGTGTTCTTTTCTGTGATTTAACATGCATTTTTGAAAAGATATTCGAACCTAGAATAATGTAGAAAATTTTGAAATCTCCTTCACCTATTAGAGTTTTGCAAGAAATGTGGCGTGTACCTAACAGTATGTATTGATCATACAGTGTGATTATCGTTGTGAGGGTTTTAGTGGACAGCACTGTTGTTGATGATACATACAATGACTGAATTAGATGACCTGAGGTCCTGGCTGGAGATCATCATGAGCGTGTTTGTATATACAGCATTCTCTGAGATCATGTCTGTATTTTATAGACTGGGAGCTGGTACTGTTATCCTAATGCATCCACTGTCTAGTTGATATCAGTTCACTTAATTGATAGAGCAATTCCCGCAGACAATTTTAAGATGTTGTGAAAAAATTTCTCTTGTCAAATGATTTCTCTTGGTTTGCAGTGTTATGGGGCAGAAGATGACAGGACATTTGGAATTCCTGGTGAGGTAAAATGTCAGTTTTTTCTCAGTCTTAACAGGATATTTCTAATGCTTGGTGGTCCAGTCAGTATAAGCAAGCTTTTCTTCAATTTGCAATAGGGGGATAATTAGCCAATCAGTAATGGTTGTCATGGTATAGAATACTCATGTGCACAAATTAATTTAAAGGATTTACATGGAGTTTATTCAGCAAGAGCATTTGTGGAATGGTACAATGGATTGCCAGTTAACTCACAAGTATGTATAATACTATTGTGTATTTATTAATTGGTGGGCCAATGGATAAAAAATTACAAATTTTCTGTGGTCTCATGATAATCAAGAAAATGTTATTATACGTGCCAAAGTACCTGACTAACTAACCCATTTTTATTGCTTGTAAAATAGAGGTATATGTCGAGTGTTTTTGTGTTTTTTTTTTCTTAATTAAATCCATTGTCAACAGCTAGACCCAGATCTGAGTGCAGAGACTGCAGTTATATTGGGCCAGGGTAATGTTGCTCTTGATGTTGCAAGGATTCTACTCAGTCCGTTAGAACATTTGGAGGTATTTAATTATGGGCATTCCTTCCTAAATTCAGAATAGATATACTTGGTACATGTCCCAATGAATTACTGAAATCACCCAGTTATTACCTATACATTAAGAGTTCCAAAAAAAAAACAAAGAGTTTGAAAGTCTAAATCTAAATAAAATTAATCAAAGACATCACTTTTAGTTTTAGTTTTTCAACTCATGCAATTATTCAAATTCAGGGTAATTCTCGATTCAATTCACCACATCCTTCCAATATTTCAGGGTATCGTGAGATTTAATAGATTTGCAACTTTGATGTTGCAAGGATTCTACTCAGTCCATTTCAACATTTGGATGTAGTTAATTATGAGCATTCCTTCAGCTTGTGCTGCACATCTCTGCAGCTACCAATTATAGCGAATAATTTTATGATCTGTGTGTATTTGTCATAGGCAAGAGTAGTTTTAACTTTTGTTTTATCATTTTAATTGGTTAAGCAATGTTTCAGTGAAATTTTCGATGGACATATGTGGTATGCTCTTTGTCAGGTGCTTAACTCTTCAAAGAGAAAGCATGGTACTTCTTAGACCTGTGATGATTTGTCATGTGTGTTGAAAATTAAATCAGAGCATCTGAATTAGATCTTTCACAATCATACATCTCTACTATTTTTGTCGAAAGGCACTTAAAAGTTGATGTTTGACCAATCAAAGCAGGTTAAAAAGCCTTTCACGTAACCACCATATGCCATCTTGCAGATAAATTATTTGAAAAAAGAATATAGGCTTGAGGCTTTAAAATATTTAAGTATTTAATCTTCTCATTTTACATCCTTGTTAGAAAACAGACATTTGTGATCATGCCTTGGAACTGTTGAGAAAGAGTCAAGTAAACACAGTTTATATTATGGGTAGGAGGGGTCCTTTGCAAGTGAGTGAAGTGTAACAACAACATCAAGTGCAAATTTTGATAAATTTTCTAAGTGTATCAATTTGTGCTCGAGAATTTTTGATGTATTACGCTTACTGAAACAGAAGAGGTTAATTCTGCCAGTCAATGAATTCTTTATGTTTTTGGCAAGGCTTAGATACAAAATGAAATATGATGTTATTCAGGGAATGACACAGGTATACTTGAAAAAAAGAACTCTGAATGCTCCTAATACAGGGTTTTCAAATTGAAAAAAAGTAGCAGCAGGAAATTGTAAAGTAGCCAGAGCACTATCTCATCCGAATAACAGCAGCCTTGTGGGGTGGGGTGCTGGAATATGAAAAGTACCCAGCGCAAATGCTTGAAGTAGCAGGTGACTTGTGCTGGGTGCCAGCTAAATTTGAAAACCCTGCAACTGAGGAGTCAAACCTTGACCTTCTGATTTGTACTTCAGATGCCCAACTACTAAGCTATAGGAGACTTTTGAGTTAAACTAGGTCCATGATAACAAACTTCCTGCACACTGCTAGGATGGGAATGTTGATATGTAGGTTCTAATCCTATTGGAAGCACTCAGACTTTTTTTTCTGTGATTATGCGTGTGTCATTAACTGAATAACATCGTCTTTAACTAAAAAAATCCCCAAGCCTAAAATTTGCCATCTCCATTTACATCAGCATAGATACTCAGTGTTGGTAGGTTTCTTAATTTGTTTATTGATTTTATTGTTTGTTCACCAGGTGTCCTTCACTATCAAGGAATTGCGTGAAATGACTAAGTTACCAGGTTGTAAGGCTATGTTTGATCCTCAAGACTTCAGAGAAATACAAGAAAAGCTCTCTAGTAAGTTGTATATTTTAACTTATGCTTTTGGTTAAGGAAAGATTTGGCAGCTGTTATGCTTTTATGGTGATAAACTTTTTAACCTGTAAAAGGCTCCTTTATAAGAAGTATTAGGGAATTTATGTATTTGAAGATTTCCTCAATGATTTCTGTACTTCATTTTTTTAAGGCATTCCAAGACCTCGCAAGAGACTGATAGAACTAATGTGTAAAACAGCATTGTAAGTTAAATGGACTCTGTCTGACACCTTCTGTTAATTGAAACACAATTTTGGAAAATCTTAGTTTGTTTCTTTTCTTTTCAAGAGATGGAGGTGCCGCACAAAATTCAAGGCACAAAAATTGGGGGCTTAAATTTCACAGGACTCCCGTCGAGTTTCTGTCTGAATCAGGAAAAGTATCGGGAATAAGATTTGAGGTCAACAACTTAGTTGAGGTAAATATCTATTGTGGGTTTTTGCTGCAACCGCTTGTAACTTTAGTAGCTACGAAAGGCCACATTGCACATTTTAAACGAGTGTCCAAAGTAATCTGAGACTGCTTTGGATTTGCCTTAATTTGCTGGTATGTGATTGGTCCGGAAAATCTGCTCCATCCCCTCTCAACCAATCAGATTCAAAACCAAAACGAGTCGCGACTTGGCCACTCGTGTTTCCCGCACTTCAAGCTGTTAGTTTGTTTTTACTTTGAGTTCTCATTGGTTCCCTTTGCAAGTTGTGTTTACTACACTCGCTCGAAATGCGCGCCATGAATACTAATACATTATGGTTTGTTTACATGCAGCAGAGTGATGGAACATTTCAAGCCCGTGGCAGTGGCGTTTATGAGGATTTACCATGTGGTTTGGTGAGAGATTGTAAAATCTGTAGACTACGAGCAGTTCTTCCTTTTCTGCGAAGTCCTTCGTGGGAGTAAAAAAAAAATCAATGAAAAGGAAATTGATGTTAGCGCGCTGCGTGGAGCTCTGGGAGTGAAGTGTACCAACTTTTGTGCGCTTCATTCCAAGAGTTCCGCGTGGCGCACCAGCATCAATTTTTTTTCTTCACTTAATTATTTATTTATTTATTTATTTTACCCGCGCAACGGACTTTGCAATAAAGCAGGAAATTAACGTAGTCAAAAAAACTCCGGTTTTTTGTATCAGGAAGTGGCGAGTTTTTTCGCTAAGTTTTCGTTGAAGCGAATCACCCCCCTTGCTTTTTTTTCTCTCTCCCGCTTGGCCCGCTTTTTGGCTCCTTGCAGTGTGAGTTCCGCCTAAGTGCTTACTGAACTGGCTTCTTGGTATCATTTCTCTCAGGTTTTTCGTAGCATCGGATACAAAAGTATTCCAGTGGATGACGAAGTTCCGTTTGACATGAGAAAAGGTGTCATCCCCAACATTAATGGAAGAGTAATAGAAGCAAGTGAGCAAAAACGCAAAACTTAGGTTATTATTATTATTATTATTATTATTATTATTATTATTATTATTATTATTATCATTAGACTGCTTTTAGATTGATTGTCGTAAAACCAAAACCAAAGTAGTCACAGCAGCTATATCAAGGAAAACATCACCCACAGCCAATATAAACAAGCAAACTGCCTGAAGCGCGGGAAAACATCACCCACAGCCAATATAAACAAGCAAACTGCCTGAAGCGCTGGAAAACGCCGGTGACCATGTCGCGATAGGTTTTAATTTTGAATCTGATTGGTCGATAAAGTGACGCAAGTTTTTTGGACCAATCACATCACTGAATGAAGCAAAACCAAGTAATCCCGGATTAGTCAATTAAAAATTTTTCTATCAAGGTGTACTCGTTGGAATTTTTATAAAGCATATTTAATTGTTCAAAATGAAATGTTTTCGTTCTTGTCGCTGTTGTTGTGCTTTATTTTGTCAGTACGAGATTTGGTCTATGAAAGAGCACCGCCCATCGGCATAACGTAACGTGTAAAGCGATTCAATCTGTGCGCAACTTTTTCTTCAACTCTCGGCACGCAAGAATGCTGGAATTCAAAATGTGCACGGAGCACTACAAGGAGATAACCTGAAGTTAATATTTGTATTAAGATACACTCTTTTATTCTTTCATTCATTATTAATTTTTTTTGCCTCGAAAAACAATACTGGAACGTCAGACAAAGATGTGCCCTTAATTCCAGGTAAGCTTTGACACAATTTCAAGTTCCTATAAACAATTAGAGTAGGCTTTCACTTTTAATAGCGTGCGTTTTCGGCTTTTCGTTTCTATTAACGGCCCTTTTTTTTTATCTGTTTCTACTGATAAAGAGAACACGAACATACATACATATACATACATATAGGTTAATTGACCACTCCCCATAGGGACTTTTCAGGGCCAACACCCACACATCTTACCCAGGGGAGGACATTCACCGCACAGTAATCTCGTGCGTGGGAAATTAACGTCTCCTACCCCTAACCCTGCAGGAGACGGGACATCTTGGATCATTTTGCTAAACGCTATAATCTTTCAATTATTTTTTTCAAGCATGTTAGAGAATCACCATTGAATCGAGTGAGATTTTTGACTAAGCGTTTGATAAAGTGAACAGTAGTGCGAAAAACCACGGACTAGCAGGGATAGGTAAGGGTGACTTCGAGTAGCACGGATCCGGCAATGATGAGAGAGAAAATTCCGAGCTAAAGTTTTTTCAAATGGATAACCGCGTATCGTTTGCCTGTTTTGTAATTGTATGGTCACGTTAGGTCTGTACTGTAGTGGCTGGGTCAGAAATGGACCTGTAGGTGTTATCGCTACCACAATGAACGATGCCTTTCAAACAGGAGAGCTTGTGGTACAGGATCTAAAATCGGGTGAGTTTTCTTTAAGACCTGTTTAATAGGGAATGAATGACAAGGCGGGAGAGGTATAAGCGTGTTCCAACCAGAATTTTCTTTTGTGTCTCTCTTGGTTTGAAGGCAACATAAAGACAAAAGTAGATGCAGTTAAAGGATACGAGGCGATTAAAAGCTTACTGAACTCAAGAGGTAAGCGTGGAAGATGTTAGCAGTGACCAATTTATTTTCAGAGTTTCCCGTTCAAGTGATTTCGGTGATAAACGGTTCGCAATAATGGCATAGAGCGATCGAAAGAGAGGTTGGAGCTGGGTTCCGCAACCCGTCCCAGACCTCCCTCCTTTTCTTCGTTCTGCGTTGTCAAGTCAAACCCTTCAGGGTGACTACCATCTAATTTCTCATTAAGGTATTATTGCTGAATCAAACATTAGGCTCGTGAGAATTAGGGAAATGACCGCAAACTTGAAAAGCTCATGATTTTTAACCAAATTCTCCTTGTCAGTGCCTTAGGATAGGTACAAAGAACAGTTTGAAGAATATGCATGCTGATAAGATAAATGGAAATTCTCTTTTCCTTTTCAGTACATGGCCTGAAATATATGAATATATATCTTGTTCACATTTTCGTAAGTTCTATCTGTTTTTCTTCTCCTCCTTGCAGGTGTCAGGCCCGTGTTCTTTGATCAATGGCGCAAAATTGATCAAGTTGAACAACAGAGAGGAAAAGAACGTGGAAAACCTCGCGAAAAGATTGTTTATGTGCACGAAATGTTGAACATTGCTTATGAAAATAACCGAAGCTAGTAATGACTGAGCATGCTCAAGGGATACTGCTTTGAAATTGTGAAGAGAAGTTACAGGTTAATGAAGAGATTCAAAGGGTTTAGACATCGTTAAAGTGTTCAAGTCTCGGTGAATCAATGAAGCTCAAAAGAGGATCTCCGTAGAGCGGGGGTCTTGGAAAAATTTAAGAAACTTCAAATACTAGAAAACTCAACTTACTTGCGGAAGATCTGAAAAATTTTTTACAAGAATATAGCTCTTAAAATCCGCTGCTTTTAAAACTGATTTACTTTTCGTTTTTCTTGAAGCGGAATGGAGAATGCCTTGACTTAAGCGATTATGTCTGTTCCTGAGCAGCTCACATCACACCATAACAATATGGAATGCGAGAGGAAGTAGTGGAGGCGCAGCTTTCCGTTTTCATTTTTCGGTCCCTTCAGTTCCAAATTTTCCTTCGTTACGTGTCGAGGCCTTACTGCATGTTCTCGTATCTCAACAGAGCGCGTAAGTGCAGAAACACGTAAGGGTTGTAGTGACATCTACGTCAGTATCCCACAACCATCGTAGATATCGACTCCCACCCCTCCCTTTCTCCCTTTTCTGTCCAGGGGCCAGTTTCTCGAAAGTCCCGGTAGCTTAACGAGCCCGAATCCATATTTTGAAATCAAAATTTAAAGGATAGGAAAGCAGGTTCAGGCACCCAAACCAGTCCATTTTGTTTCTTTAGCTGATAGTTTTATTGTATCATTTTCAAAACTTTTGAAATCCCATTTTGAATGAAAACAGAACAGCTTTACGAGCCCGTTAAGTTATCGGGACTTTCGAGAAACGGGTCCCAGGCCCGCGAATAGCTTGCCAGGCAAGCTATGAGGCAAAGACTTTTTGTGCGCCTCAACTTGGGAATTAGTAACGTATTACGGTTCCATCATTACTGTAACAGCTATGTGAAGGCAGAAACATTAACAAAGGGTTGAAATCTGTCATTCGACTGATCGAAACCTAGAAACATGACTTTTGGAAGCCAAAAGGAGAAACAATTGCAGGCGGGATGAAACCCTTTCTTCAATGATGATTTTTTAAACCTCGAGATGAATTATGGGTTTCCAATTGAGCCAAAGTTACCGCAGAGTTTTTCCTTCTTCAGCGGCAAACCTTTCCCAGCAATAGATACTCAAAGTACTGCAGAGACTCGACTCTGATTATTGCTCTGATTTCATGCAGTTAGTCGGCTCTACGTCCACTCCTAATTGAAAAACAAGTGTCGAAAGCATTAAATTTTAGGGCATTGCTTATAGCCGCATTACTCACGGGCGCATCTATTAATATCTGAATCTGAATTGACTGCCTGCATAAAAGAAAATTTCCTTCCATAGATAGGTCTAATTGCATATTTTTGTAAAATATGCCTTTGTGTTGTTTTCTCAATGAAATTGCAGTATTACTCTTGTCCTCCTTTACTTCACACGGAGTGTCTTCGAATCGCTCAAGGTCGATCTCACTCTTCATTTTGCCGAGGTAAGCGAAAGATATGATTAAAATAAAAATAAAGTAATTTCGTCTCGAATTCCTTTCACAATCCGGACGTACAAATTTGCGAATGTTTGCCAAGGTTCTAGTAATTTTATTGTTTGGTTTACATATTTAGTCCTTGCCAACGCTTTTGGGTTTAAATAACGATTTGAAACAAGTTAAATTACTTGCTGTCAAATCACATTCAGATTACAATGTTTTTAAAATATTTTAAGCATAATGTAGACATTTTATAATAGCCTTTTCAAATTGCTCCATTTAGGCCCGTTTCGGCAAGTTAAAGGCACACACAAGATAAGTTTTTTAGATTTATAGAAGATAGGTCCTTTTTGAACGGGATCCCAATTTATTTTCAGTTTTTCGAGACGTAATTAAAAAACTCATTTTGGGTTCAGCTTCCTCTCCGAAAAGGTGTGAGTATACGTGTTTTTATCATTACTCTTCTTCGTTAAAAGTTATTTTGTTTTTGTTGTTGTTATTATTTCCCCGGAGGTATTTCTGTACCAAATGTTTGTTTTTTATCAAACTGCGCACAGCTTTAAGTCGGCTTGCTATGGATTCTCTTTTGATGTATTATGGTTAGAACTGTTTTTTTGAGGCGGAGATGAAAATTTCTGAGTGTAAATCTTGATATGCAACAAGATAAAGCGCTACTTTGGGCGCATATGACCTATCACCAGAGAGTTCCAGATGCGAAAGTGGGTTTTCACGGGTAGAAAACGCAGCTGGAGACCAAAGGTGTTGGTCGACTGTCGGGACAGTAAATTGTAAATATTACTGATCAGTTGATGTGATCTGCTGGCTTTGCCGGACGATAGCGTGTTTTTCTCTTAATGCCAAAGCTAACTTTAGCAAGGAGAGAATTGCAAGCTCTTTGAAATAGGAAGTCAGAGGTACGTTTCGTTTTGTCGCGGGTGCATTAGCCCTGAGGTTCGAGACAAGAAAAGCCACATGGTTTTCTGTTTTAGAAATGGGACGAAAGTAATAACACTTGTTCTGACCTCAATTTTTGCAGGCCTCACCGTAATTCTTTATTGTGGTGGAGAAAGAAGCGTGATTTGACACAACAATCACAACTGACGCTAGGAGTATAACAAACGGATCAATTAGGTATGGCTTCTATTCACACCATTTGAATGTGCTGATTGTTTTGCATATATATTGTAGTCTTTGTGCTATGCTGCGGACAAAAAAATCCAATTCCATCACAATATGATCGATCGATGTTGCTTCACCTTTTCTTCCATAAAATCTTCAGTTTTGTTTGTATTTTAACCTCTATTTCCTCACTACACGAGAATCAACAAAAACCTCTGGGAAAAAAAAGAACCTGCATTATTTATGAATATTTATTATTTCATTTACATATCCTCCATAATTACTGACAGTAATACTATAAGAATAACCGGAGAAGGATAACATTTTTACTATCTATCATTTATCTTGCACGTAATCTCATTCAAATAAGAAACAGCCGCCAGAGGCAAACATTTTCAAAACTAAATGTCAAAATGATATGATGCGCGTGTTCATAATATCGGATCTGCCATATCATGAAGATTTTAAGCTGAATTTTTAGGTAGAAATCTGTATCTTTTATTCAGGTGGTAAACCAACATTCTGGGAGTTATTTACGCCCAATTTTTTAGAGAGACTGTTCGATCCTTGCGTATAATTTCCACTACATTTTTTCACCTAATTACACCAAATGAGTTCAGGTGAATATGCTCCGCTTGAAAGCTATCCCATAATATAAAATTGGTCTTCTTTCAGTCCTGGGATTATGCACCGCACGATTTTAAAGTAGTCTAAACAAATTGTAACGTGAATTTTTCCCCCTTATTTACCTTGTTTTGTGCTTCTGTTCCGCATTTCCTGCGAAATAAACCTAAACTAATGATAACAATGGAAAGCCACAGAAATATTTAGAGAGACTGAAACAGAAATATTTAGCCACAGAAATATTTAGAGAAACCTAAACTAATGATAACAATAGAAAGCCACAGAAATTTTTAGAGAGACTGTTCGATCCTTGCGTATAATTTCCACTGCATTTTTTCGCCTAATTACACCAAATGAGTTCAGGAGAATATGCTCCGCTTGAAAGCTATCCCATAATTTAAAATTGGTCTTCTTTCAGTCCTTGGATTATGCACCGCACGATTTTAAAGTAGTCTAAACAAATTGTAACGTGGATTGTTCCCTCGTATTTACCTTGTTTTGTGCTCCTGTTCCTCATTTCCTGCGAAATAAACCTAAACTAATGAAAACAATGGAAAGCCACAGACATATTTACATGCCTCACGGCATTTCCTGAGGACGTAATTACTAAAACCCGCCACATATTTTGCTTCGTATGACTATGGTATAAATTATTCGACTTAGATGCAATGAACTTTTCGTTGCAATTCGTTGATGGTTCTGAAAAGAGAACTGTGGAAGCTGTTTCAACCTCGAAAGGATTATGCCTGATGTTCTTTTATCTCCTTCCTCTTATTCTTTGATAATGTAGACAGCTCTGGCTCGGTTAATTTGCTGTAACTGAATGTTGATTATGCCAGTAGTAGCCCCGCACTAAAAAAAACGCTTGTCGTTCTTCCCCCGCTCCTTTTGAGGTGGCTGCGAACGCAACTGTAGTGGAACAGATCTGTCGGGAAATCCTGCTGCAATTTTTGAGTTTTGTTTTTATCTATCGATCGATTTTAAATATTTTATTCACCGGCTTCCTCGCCAAGTGTCAGATAAGCGCGTGATGATTTGCTAAAAATCTACCATTTATTTCACCAGCACGCCAATAAAAAATTAATCGATCCAAAATCCTTTTATAAAACACTTCATTTCGATTTCGTTGAATTGACAAAGTAACCCACGTGAGCGCAATGGCGATCGTTGTAAAGCACGAGCCTTAGACGATTGATGTAGAACTTCATCTTGCGCTGTCCCAATATCCCTTGCGAGGTCTAACGCTGGCAAAACGATCAAAACAGGTCGTATTTTGAGCAAGAAAACGGCTAAAAATGCTCCTATATATGATTTGATTAATTTGAACTTCATCAACCGTCTTCTGATGGGTACTTTGGGCTTTTTTTTCAAAAAATAACAACACCATCATCATCAACAACAACAACAGGCGGAGAGGTGTACCGTCCATGTTGCCCTGTTGAAGTTCTCTGAAGCGCTCATTCCATTTTTGCATTAGATCTTTGAATAGTATACCCGTAAAAGGTATTGGCATTTATATTAATGTCTGAATCAATTAGCTAACATCACATCTAGCCGGTTTTTTTAGCTAGGGGCAAGCTAGAGTTTTTAATTCGCCAAACCCCATCGATCATTTGTCTTTCCGATTCCCTCTGCATGAAGCATTGATACGCTTCAACCTCACCACCGTACAAAGAATCCTGAATCACGGCCACAGCGTAAAACATTTCAGACATTACAGAAATGGCAGATAAAAGCTTCACCTTCTTGGTCCATTTTCAACGGAAATTAGGTAATTAAACCAAAAGAGAGATTAAACTTCCATGGGTCGTTCGTGTTCTGCTGTGTTTTCGTTTTCTGAAGTTGAGAGAAGCGCTTTACGTTCAGCCGTTCTCTCGTCAAACAATTGCCTTGTTATCAGACTAAAAGACTTGTCGTTGATCTCTTACAACTTTATCCATCATCGTCTGTTAGCCTGGATTCTAATTAAAAATTTCAATGAAACTTTCTGGGGGTACATTAATATGAAATGCATAATAAGATATTTTCA